AGATATTAATTCAATAATTTGAAAGGTTCTGTTTACTATTATGACTCCCACTTTGAATTTTAGTTGAAAATGCATTAGTTTTTAATTCTTCAATTTGGTGATGGCAAGTGGACTAGTAAGTAGGAAACATAGGCAATAGGATATACATAATATTTACTGAATAGCGACAACCTTTGGCGTACCTCAATCCTGCCCAAGATGTAAATCCAGAATCTCTGATTGTTTCTCTGAAGAATTTTCATGAGCGTCAAGGGTTTATTCTGCTTCAATGTTCTTTAATGTTATCTACACATCACATGATATGTGCACTTTATTTTTCCTATGACATTTCATGTACAAGCCTAACATGATATATATTCACTATAATCATTAAGGGAGTGGAGAAGGATGAGGCCTAGATGGGGGAGGAGGTACTGGTGGCCCTGGCGTCCCTTAATCTTTTTCCTAGAGTAAGACTTTAGACTACCAATTACAAACTCTGAAAGGAAACAACAATTAAGTGGTCGTTTGGTTTGTTGGCACCTAAAAAACATAGAGCGTCTAGTCTAAATAATCAAATAAACTGAGAGTGGGGGCGGGATCTGAGAAATGTAGTCCTAAAAATTAAGCATAAGGGAAAAAGGACTCATTTAAAAGTCTCCAAATCCAAACTCGAAAATGGACTATTATCTTAATTTCATTGTTAATTTGTTACATAGTTTAAACCCCAGTACTCTCACAACACACTTATAACAAAGTACATCTCACGTAAGTAAAGCTAGACTAGGAAAACATACAAAGAAGTCATGTAACAAGACTCTGAACTACCAAAAAAAAAAAAAAACCCCTCATCTATTCCATTCAGCCCCATTAATAACTTCGTTGACAATGGGTCGAGCTTTGCACATAGCTTCAAGAGGCTGGGCTTTAGGAACGACTGGTCCTCTTCCTTCGGTCATATCAACCTCCTCCTCACTAACTCTCTTCCACTCAAAGCACTGAATGATTGATCCTAAAGTTAAGCCTACCAGCCGGTGGGCCAACGCTGCCCCAGGACATGCCCTTCTTCCCATTCCAAATGGCATCAACTTATTACTCTCTTTCTCTTCCTTCTCCAACCTCTCCGGTCTGAAACTTTCTGGGTCATCCCACAAATTTGGGTCTCGGTGGATGGCAAATACATTGACCGACACTATCGTGCCTTGCGGCACATCGTATCCACCTATGGTGCAGTCTGCAGACGCCATATGTGGAAGTAGAAGAGGGGCTGCTGGGTGTAGTCGGAGTGTCTCCCACATGATGCTTTGAAGGTAATGGAGCTTTGCGATATCCGATTCCTCCATAAGCCTTTCTTCGCCTACTTGAGCGTCTATCTCCTTTTTTGCCTTATTCAGTACTTCAGGGTGATTGAGTAAGTTAGACATCGCCCATGCTAATGTCACCGCAGACGTATCTATTCCAGCAAGTATCAAAACCCAAATAAGCCCTTTTATGATTTGATCCGTGTAATATTCAGGGTCCGATTCTTGCAATGAAAGGAGATGACCGATCATGGTGTCTCCCACCTTCTTGCTGCGATGCTCATCAACCAACCCTTGCAAAAGCGCGTCCATTCTTTTGAATGTCTTTATAACTTTCTTTTCGTGAATTCCAAACCACCTCAACAACGGGTTGAAATTTTGTCCGTTAGATTCGTGTATCTCTGCTAATGTCTCCTTGAATTGCTTTGCCTCCTCATATTCGGTCACGTTCTCCCCGTAATATCGTTTTCCGGCCACCATTCTCATGACATTATTAAACGTTAAGTCAATGAAAATTGATCTCAGCTCAACTTTGGCAAAATTTTCCATTGAATTGTGAGATAGTTTCAGTAGCAAACGCCTGACCTCGTCGTTTCGCACCCCGAGAAATTTGTTCAGGCGACTAGACGAGAATATTTCAATAGAAGTGATGCGACGGAGGTTGCGCCAGTGATCTCCATATGATGCGCTAATCATCGTCGTGTAGTTGTAGCCCATGTGCTTGCCAAAAATTGACATGGGTCTGTTGGCCAAAACAACATCATTCTTGGTGAAGCATTCTTCGGCAGTTGATGCTGACGAGACAACGACAGTAAGGTCGAAGCCAAACCGGAGGGAGATGATTGGACCGTACTTGTCGGAGAGACTGCGGAGTGCACGGTGAAAGGGTGGTTTTAAGAGATGGATGTGGCCAACAATGGGGAGAGATGGTGGACTTGGGGGAAGGTTCTTGTATCATTTTTGGGACAGAAACAAGAACTTCAAGGCAAGGAGGACGACCAGTGCCGAAAGAGATGTATATAGGACGAATTGATCTTCCATGGCTTTCAATTAGTTGTATTCTTGTTTGAGATCACCATGTCTATATATTCAC